CATCTCCAGCCCCCTTGTTGGAGTCTGGAAGGTCGGCTATAATCTTGTACTGAGTGGATCTCGGCTTAAGGTAATAGACAAAACCCCTATCCTTCAGATCAAGAGGGCACATGGTATAACAATATTGAAGGTCGGCTAAGGTGATTCTAAGGTTTTCTTGCTTAGCTAAGGCTATAATACCGTTGATTACCCTATAGGAATTGATAGTAAGTTGCATGGGGTTCAGCTTATAGAAATGGAGAACTTGACGAAAAAGGGGATCAAGTGGAAGCCGAAGTCCACATTCGGTAAAAGCAACTATTGGAAAAGGCATTGTATGGTCTGTGGGCACGATGGTGTCATTATCCCCAGCCAGCTTAAGATGAACGTCGGCTGGGATAGAAAATTCTTGCCTGAAGTATTCAAGTTTCGTGGGGGTATTGACCCTATGCCTCCACATACCCATTATGTCGGCTTAAACTAAGAGGAATATGTTTCAAAAGATGGGCGTTTTTCAAATTTCCCTGAAGATTAAGGGTTCTACAAACAAATCCCAAATCTATGAACTATGAAGATAAAGATCGAGGGCACAGATCTGGGGCAGATACAAAAAAGAGAAAACGAAGACAAAGTTTCAGATTCAAAAACAGAAGTATAGTTCTCAGAAACAATAGAGATACAGGAAAAAATCAAGAACAGCGGCAAAGAGAATGATGAAAAAAGCATAGAAGTCTAAGGCATAGCCACAAATTCAAGATACAAATAAATCCCAGACACCGAATAAGATCAGTAATAGCAACAGACAGACAAAAGCACATAAAGGGAATGAACGAATTAAAAGAAAGGATCTTACCAGGACAAATGAAGCCGAGGCAGTACTCGCCGAACCCAGAGATTGGTCACAACAGCGAAGAGGGCTTTCGCAAGAATGAGGGATTAAGAACAGTCCTAGAAGAGAAATTGAAGCAATGATAGATTCAAAAAAGAAGAACGAGCTTTCAAGAGAAAGAGCAAGAAGGTGGAATGAAAAAGTGAAGAAAAGATAGAGGCAAAAGAAGTTTTATCAAAAATATGAAACGGCGGCAAAAATTAGGGCAATCATTACGCCTAGGGTAACGCACGCGTCAGACGGCGCAGACAAACGAACAGACAGCTTCTGGGCGCGTCACTGACACGCTCCAATAAAGTCGAAACACGTAAAAGAAACAGTTAGATATGCATGACAGCTCATGCGCATGGGAGAGTTCGACCGAAGCCTTGTTCTCCGAAGAGAACACGTCGGCTGAAAGTAGATAAAGGTAAAAAATGCCGTCGCAAAACATTAGCGACGGCACTTACCGTCGCAAAAACTCTTTTGCAACCCCTGCAGTTGCGACCCCCCTCTTGCCGTCGCAAAAAGTCATTTTGCCGTCGCAAAAAGTATTAGCGACGGCAGTAAGAGTATTAGCGACGGTATTTTACCGTCGCAAAAAGTCAATTTTTTTGTAGTGCCAAGTACGTTTGTGTCGTGCCATTGTTCGCTGCCAAGTTAGGGCTAGCTGTAATGGTACAATTCTGTATTGAAGTACCGGTATTCTGGTTTATATCTGTCCTTCCTTGCGCGGTGATTGTGTTAAATTGGCCTAGTATGGGAAGTCGAGGATACACATTGCTATTTTGGAAAACAACAGCTGCATTTCCAAATATGAAGTCCATCGTGCCGTAGATATCACATTCCCTATAAAATTGCCTAAGTGAATGGGTGTACAAGGTTGTCCTGGTAGCCTTCAAAGCTGCACTTGTAGAAGGTGGACATATCGGCATTGTTTCGAAGTACCACTGCTTGCTGCTTTATGGCTCCTACTGTGTTTCGAATGGTAATGTTTATTGCTACAAATCTTGGTCTAACTACAGCTGCAATTGAAGTATCCATTGAGAATGTAAGATTAGATAATTTTGAATTGTTTTAATGTAATTGAATAGATTTGATTTACAATAAACCCGAACAAGTGTAATGGTAGATCATTAATTGTAGGTCTTGGATTCTTAATCACGAAACAAGTAGGCCAAATTTTATCTATTTTCAAATCTCTTATTGTCTTAAAATATTGAAAATTATTATATATGAATCTTGAGGCCTAATCTAACGATGATAAATGTTTTGAATAGAGAAATATAGAGATTGGGAAAAGAAGTTCTTGTGTCGATATAGGGGCTTTTTTTTACTATATTTGACCCATAGGTAGTAAACTACACTAAGCTTTAAATCACAAGTAAAATAGATTTGAAAAAAATAAAAAATAAAAAAATTAATAAATCCTAGGGTTTGACTCTCATAAGAAAATAAACTCCGAATTTTAAATTTTAATAATTTAAACCTTAATCTTTTTATTTGTTTTTAATCTAAACTATCTGCTTATTTTTGTTTAGAAAAACTGTTGAAAAATAATATTCTAGTCATTATACTCAACGAAAAATGATATTTTCAATACATTACGTACACCTATATTGAATTTAATAGCTAAAATATATTTTTTCATTGATTTTACTTATCGAAAATAGACAAATAGTTTAGATTGAAAGCAAATTAAAAAAATTAAGGTTTAAATTGAAAAACTTTAAAAACCTAGGAGTTATTACCTTAGGTTTTTTTTTTATTTATAATTTCCCAATAAATTTTTCCCTTACATATAATTATTTATAAATGAAGAGAACAAAAAGAGGTAAAATGTAAAATAAACAAGTAAAATTAAATGTTAATTGTAATATTTTATTATTTTTACATTTTTACATTTAAGAAAATTAAATTAGGATTAGTTGGTGAAAATTCTATTCCTATGAGGCCATATGTCATTTAGTCCATGTTTTAGATTATGATTATTATTATTATTATTATTATTATTATTATTTTGTGAGAATGACACTAGTTGAAAAGTTTCTAGAAAGTCTTTGGCTACGACGATAGCTGGTAGCAGTGAAGTAAACAGAGAGAGGATATTGAACAGATATGTGACATGCGTACATATAGAGATAAATTGGAATAGATGTTGCACTGATAGGTTACACGTGTACAAATAGTAAGACATTTAAACAGATAGATAGATATGTACGTTTTGAACAAATATGTGTCGTTTTTTGACAAATAATGTGCTTTTAGTCTAAAAGGATTTAAACTTGAGCCGATTGGCCTAAGAGTTTCAAAAATAGACTTCTAGTGTCTATTAAATTATATATCATATACATATAATTATGGGACAATTTAAAAAAAAAAAAAAAAAAAAAAACAAAAACAAAAAAAAAAACAACAACAACAACAACAACAACAACAACAACTCAAGATTTGATCCTTCTAACAAAATAATCCTTGCATTTTTTATTAGATAAAATTCATTTTACATCCTTATGGTATGGCTCGATAGCAATTTACCCCATTGTCCTTTAAAAATAGCCATATACCCTTATGTGATTTTAAATTAAAATGCAACCTTAACACGGTTAATCTTAACAATCAAAAGATACCCTTTTTGTATTCTTGTTCTATTTTTGGCAATCTTTGTGAATAAGTAAATAAATTTAGGAAAAATTAGTAAAACATCCTACCTCCAACTTTGTATAGTAAGAGAGGTCCAAGATTTTTTTTTTTTTTTTTTTTTTTTTTTTTTTTTTTTAGCTAAGGTCCCTCAATATTTTCACAGAGAAAATTCAACTCAGAGAAATTTTTTCTGATTTGGAGAAATTTAACCCGACTCAAAGAAATTTCGGTTCCAACTTATCGAAATTTTGAAATTTCTTTGGTATGATAACAGAGAAATTTCAAAATTTCTCTGTGAAATTAGAGAAATTTCTCTGTAAAAATTAAAATTTTTCTGAGTCGGGCAAAATTGCTCTAAATCGAATTTTTTTCTGTAGACATGCCGAGGAACCTTAACTACTATGAAAATATTGTATGTCCGTTATCTTATAAAATAATATGACTGACTTTATAAAAACTTTCCCATAAATTTATATCTATAACTAAGCAAAAAAATTAAAAGCATAACGCAAAACCAATTTAAGAAATTAGAGTTTCCCAAATATTTTTTTAAATAAACTTACTTTTAATTTTAATTATTATATATAAAATGTCTAAAATATCCATTTTCTTTGAGTGGAATCTAAATGATAAATGTCTAAGCTTACCAACTGTTGCAGAACTAAATGTAGTCCACCCATCAGCCACGCTATGGTTCCCCGTGATTATAGTCTTGTTAATGCCATCTCCGACTATCATCAACTACTGTTTGCTCTTTGCAATTGAAATGTACTCTTCATATACTCCTCCAACTACATAAATCATGAAGTATCCCGTGTTAGCAGCAGTGTTGTTTGGGGCCGCAGCCACCGCATCGCTAATGGTCATGAAATTCCCACTTCCATCCTTGTTCACAATCACCATATTGTTCACCTTCACTTGACCGCCCCCACTCGTTTGCAATAACTTTCTTCCACTCACTGACTCATAAACCTTTTGATGTTGGCTCGGCATTTCCAAACCCAAATGACCATTTTTGGAAAACATTGACTCTCTTTCTGCTAGCCACCTGCCTTTTCTTGTTTTAGGAACGTAACCGTACTTAAACAGGGCAAGAGATACGATGTACAACTTGTTTCCATTGTTGAAAGGACTTAAAATGTTGTTTTGAATTCTAAAAGATGGAGTTGTGGCTTGAAGCCCATCCGAACATGTTTGATGGTTGGTTATAATGGCAATAAGCAAGGTATGTGTATTATCGGCTTGTGAACTTTGAAGGGTATCTGTAGAATCGATGGATTGAATAGTGGTCGACAAGAAATCCATGTTTGATTCGAGGAGAGACTAGCAATCTTTGAGAGCACGAATGGTGGGTTGAGAGAGCCCATTTGGGAGTGTGAGGTAGCTATTGACCAATGAAAGGAAATGACTGGTTATTTTTAGGGAATGACGAATGGAAAATCGGGCGTAGTTGTATATAATGGAAGATTGGTTGTTTGGTAACATGGATTGGCAGAAGAAAGTGTAAGGGATGGAATTGCAAATGGCATCTGGTGAGCTAGAGATTTTTGCAAGGGATGAAGAGAAGAAATTGAGGGTGAGAAAGAGAGACAAAAAGCAAATAATAGAATGCATGGAAGCCATGTTTGTGATAGTTTAGTTTTGGTGTAGCAATGTGTTGTGGGATGGACTATATATATACTTCTACGAGTATTTATATGCAAAACCATTTGAATTTAAAGCTGCGATTGCAACTTTTTCATTGGCATCGTCTTCAAAGTCAGGTTCTAGCAGCGGGAGAATTATTCTTAAAGAAGCTCAAGCAATTGTGTAGTTGGTAAAGCTTTGGGTATTGACTTTGATGCTTAGGAAGATGTTGTGCTTAGCAAAATTGCTGAATTGGAGAGAAAAGATTTGGTAAGGATCCAGCAAAGGAGGAATCAAGGCAGGTGAGTCTTCTAAGTGCTTGGGGTTTGCTGGAGTTTTTTTATCATCAATTATGCATATTTTGTCTTGGAATATTAAAGTTTGGGGAGGGAGGTCAAAAGGAGGAAAATTAGGAAAGTTCTTAAAGATGAGAAGGTAGACATGGTGTTTTTTTCAAGAAACAAATAGAGAAGTCATCAATTCTGATATGGTGAGATCCATTTGGCCTTTTGATAGCTTTGACTTTCTGGAAGTAGGTGCGATTGGCTCTACTGGTGGTCTTTTGTGTGTTTGGAATCCTCGAGTCTTTTTGCTTCAGGATAGTTGTTGTTCTAGGAATTTTATTATGGTAGCTGGTAAAGTTAAATCTGATTTTGATGGTGTGCTAGTCAATCTTTATGCTCCTAATGAAGTTGTCAAGAGAAGAGAATTATGGGATTTGATTGTTAGGATCAAACCATTGTTTCCCAAGCCCTGGTGCATTAGGGGTGATTTCAATGAGATTAGGTGTATTAGTGAAAGAGTAGGTTGCTCCAGGAGAAGTGTGGGTATGCACGATTTTAATGAGTTCATTGATAATCTTGAGGGGGGTGGAGCTACCAATGTTAGGGAGAAAATTTACGTGGAGCAATTCTAGGGAAAATGGAATTTGGAGTCGCATTGATAGGTTCATTTTTTATTCTGAGTGGCTTGTTGTTTTCAATTTTAAATTTTGGGACTTACCTAGGACTGTATCTGATCATTGTCCTATTATTTTGAAGGAGGATAATAGGGAATGGGGTCCTAAACCCTTACGATTTATGAACTGTTGGGTTCTTCATTCTGACTTTCTACCTATAACTGAAAAGGTTTGGCTTGAAGGAGGGTTTGAAGGGTGCGCTAGTTATAAGTTGTTCCAAAAATTGGGTCGTTTAAAGAAGCATCTTAAGGAGTGGAATGTAACTGTGTTTGGTAACCTTTCATCCCAGCGAAGACTTGCTGAGGAGGAGTTCCATCAGCTGGACTTGCTAGCCGAGTCTGGAGAGTTATTGGTTGTCGAGAGGTCCAGAAGAGCTGAGTTGAAGGAGTTAATTTGAAAATTAAGTAAGAGGGTTGAGTGGTTTTGGCTCCAAAAATCCAGACAAGATTGGGCTCTTAGAGGTGATAAGAACACAAGGTTTTTCCATTTGATGGTTAAGTGCAGACAGAATATTAACCTCATTAACTCAGTGGTAGCTAATGGGGTGGTGGTTGATGAACCAACAGCAGTAAAAATAGAGGTCTGGAATCACTTCAAGAGTGCTTTTTCAGAATCTTAGAAGGTCAGGCCTAAAATAGGGGGTCTCTTTCAGACCTTAGCTAGTTCCTAAGCTTCTGATCTTGAGAAGGAGTTCATAAAGGTTGAGGTGTGGAATGCTTTGAAGGCCTGTGATGGAAATAAGGCCCCTGGGCCAGATGGTTTTAATCTTTTGACTATTAGGAAGTGTTGGAATTTTATGAAAGGGTATCATGTTATTTTTCGAAGAATTTTTTGCTAATGGGAAACTGGGCTTCGGTCTTATCTCTTCTTTTATTGCTCTTATTCCTAAGAGTGATAATCCAAGTAGCCTCAATGATTACAGACCTATTAGTCTTATTGGCTCCTTGTACAAGATTCTAGCCAAAGTGTTTTCTAATAGGCTGAAGTTAGCTATTCCTTCTATTATTAGCCCTACCCAGTCAGCTTTTTTAGGGGGGAGATTCATCCTTGATGGGGTGTTTGTAGTAAATGAGGTGTTGGATTGGTGGCGGAGTAAAAAGAAGAAAGGAGTGATTATTAAAATCAACTTTGAAAAAGCGTATGATTGTGTAAATTGGAGTTCCTTGCTTAATATGATGGAGAGTTTTGAATTTGGCCACAAATGGAGGAGTTGGATTCAAAGTTGTGTTACTAATGCTAGAATTTCTGTCTTAGTCAATTGCAGCCCTACAAATGAGTTTATTGTTGAACAGGGTTTAAGACAAGGGGATCCTCTCTCCCTTTTTCTATTTAATCTGGTTGTGGAAGGCCTTAATATTTTGATCTTGAAGGCTAGAGAGTTGGGACTCTTTAATGGGGCTATTATTGGGAATGAATTTATTAAGGTTTCACACCTTCAATTTGCAGATGACACCATCTTAATCTGTGAGGCCAATCAAGAGGAAATTCTTTGCATTAAGAGGTTGCTAAGATGTTTTGAAGTTGTGTCTGGCCTCAAGATTAACTATAGCAAAAGTATGGTTATTGGAGTTCGTGTAGAAGAGGTCAGTCTGGACCAGTATGCTGATATTCTCAATTGCTCCAAAGGTGTGCTTCCTATTTCTTTTTTGGGCCTCTCTCTGGGTGTTAGTCCTAGACTCAAATCAACATGGACTCCTATTGTTAGGAAGTTTAAAGTTAAGCTTGCCAGCTGGAAGAGAAGGCATCTGTCTTTTGGTGGAAGATTATCTCTGATCAAATCTGTGTTGAGCAATCTTCCCATCTATTATTATCTTTGTTCAAGATACCTTAAGGAGTTGCTAAAGAACTTGATAGAATTCAGGCTTCCTTTTTATAGGGTGGGGTTCTGATCTTAAGAAAAAGGTTCATATGGTTAAGTGGTTTGAAGTTACTAAAGAATTGAGAGATAGTGGTCTTGGTATTAGAAGGATTAGAGATGTGAATCTGTGCCTTCTAGCTAAGTAGTGGTGGAAGTTTGGGTGTGTGGAGAATGCTCTTTGGAAAGAAATTATCTATAATAAATATAAGTATGATCCAAAATCTTGGTTGCCTTCAACTGATTCCCAGATTAGTGGTTCTAGAGTATAGATTGACATACTGTCAGTAGTTGTATCTAAGCCTATCTTCTTTGATTTTCTACACTCTCATATTAGAATTGATTTAGGAGATGGGAATAGATGCTCTTTTAGGAATGACTCATGGACTAGTGCTGGTTGTTTAAAGTTGGCTTTCCCTAGACTGTTTATGCTCTCATAGGATAAAGAGGCCTCTGTCTTTGATATTTTTTGTAAAACGTCTTCTCCTAATGGGTGGGTGTTTAACTTTAGAAGAAGATTCTATTCCTAGAAATCCGTAGATCTCTCTAATCTTATTCAATTGCTTAATTCTGGCCTAGTGTTAAGATCTGGTGTTGAGGATAAATTGGTGTGGACTTTTGGTGCCTCAGGGGTTTACTTAGTGAAATTAGCTTATGAATGGATTTCCTGCATTGACAGATCAAGTGTTCTGGTGCCTAGTTTGCTTTGGAAGGGCATCTCTCCACCTAAAATGCAATTCATCTGTTGGTTGGCATAGAGAGGCAGACTCAAAACTTCTGTGTTTCTTCAAAATATTGGAGCTCTTGATCCCAGTGGTCCCTTTCTATGCTGCTTTTGTAATTCTTGTGCTGAAGATGTGAGTCATGTTCTACTTCATTGTCATTTTTCTTGGTGTATCTGGTCTGACTTGGTAAAATGGTGGAGTTTGGTGTGGGTTGTTCCTGAAAATGTAACACAACTTTTAGATTGATGGAGTGGCTTTAAATTTAAGAAAATGCTCCAGAGTATGTGGGATGCCTTGCCATATGTGGTTATGTAGTTTGTGTGGAAAGCTAGAAATGAGATTAGATTGCTGGTTCAAGGGCTAACTGGTGTGAAGTTTGTGAGTCCATCAAGTTACACATTGCCTTTTTAGTGAAGTATCACACTAAAAAAGAGTGGATTGTTCAATCAATGATCTGCTGTATAATTTGGAATCCATCAGGGGGCTTTGAATTGTGGCTGCTGTTACATATCTTTTGATTCAGGTATAGTGGTTTTGTTGTGTCTGCTGCTAGTGTGTTGCTCTGCTGGTGGCTGTTGGTGTTGATGTGTTGTGTTGCTGCTGCTGCTGCTGTGTTAGTATGCTGGGGTGTGTTGGGGTGATCATTTGTGTATCCATTAGTTGCATATTGCTTCCTTGGTGAAGTTACATTCTCAGGGGTGGCTTTTCAATCATTGTACTGTCTGCGGCTGTAGAGTTGCTCTGTGCTGCTCTAATGCTGCTGTTGTGTTTGTTTTAATGATGTGTGCTTCTGTGATTCTTTGTCTTGGTTATTCATTTTGCTGGTTGAACTCTTATCAACTAGCTCTTGGCTTGTGCTAGCACATGTTTGGGTGGCTTTCTTGTGCCATCCTAGTTTTTATCTTTATTGATATAAGATGTAAGGTTTTCTCCTTGGTTCTTATTCAATAAAGTTTATTTTTGCTGATCAAAAAAAAAAAAAAAACTTCCATGTCTGCTAACAAGCATGTTGATGTTGATATGCCTCTTATGATTTGTTTTTTTGTTATTCCACAATGAAGTTGGCAAGGAAATTAGTCTATTGTAAGTTGGGGTCTAGACTATACCAAATCAACCCAATCACCAGGACTCTTGCAAAAATTATGTAATATTGTGATTTTAATCTATAAAATAATAATGATTAATTTAAACAACTTTGTAACAGTTGGTGGACATATGGTAATTTCAAATCACATATAAAATTATGAGAATAATATATAGTAAGAAACGTCTGATCGTGAAAATTAAGGAGACGTGTTCCTCCTCATATGAAGGTGCTTATTGGATGTAATAATTTGAAATTTCAATCCAAGTACTCATGTTCTTTCTTATTAAGTATTGATTTCCACTAGAATGATACATAAATGAGTCACGAATCAAAGCTGGTCATTAAATTAAGGGCAAATTAAACTTGTAATCCCTATGTTTTATTGTTTGTGTTATTTTGGTTCCTGCAGTTTCAATTGATTCAATTTTGACCCTTAATTTTTGATTTTGCGTCAATTTAGTCTAATTGATAATATCGGTGGAGTTTTTGCCAAAAAAAAATTATTGAATTGGTTAAGGTTAAGTCATTAAATTTACCCACCCAAAAGTAAAAAATATATATATATATATATTAAATTGATCAAGTTAACAATTTTGCTCCTAAAAGTTTGATACATGCCGCTCATGTACACATTTACCATTAAAAATGCTAACAATTAGAATTATTGGACTAATTTGAGACAAAATTAAAAAATATATATATAGGGTCCAAATTGATCCAATTGAAATTACAGGGATAAAATTGACACGAATCAAAATATAGAGACTAACAGTGTAATTTACCCTTAAATTAATAAAATTGGTTTGAAGTACACTACTAAACAATCTCAACATATAACTATTTTGTAGATGAATTGGCCTTCAGCATTTCTTAGCAATCTCATTGCTTTCACTAGCCAATGGCTCTAGTATTTGTAGAAGAAATTTTGTAATATTTGATATTTACACTCTATTTGCTTTGACTGGAAACATTTTAGTTTCACACAATTTTTTGTGATTTTTTAGAAAAGATACGATGAAAAATAAATTAATTTGAGTAGAAAATATCTTTTACTTTTATAAGGTAGAAAATACGTTTAAATTGAAATTGTTATGAGAGTAATTCTGATATATTGAATTGAATGAATAATACAATAGCAGAAGCCTGTATATATAAGCTGAAAAGAAACCTAGATAGGTACATAAGAAGATAGAGATACAATGAGATTGAGATAGAGATACAAAGAGACAGAGATAAGTATAGAAGGAGATAAAGATAGAGATATATCTACAATACAAATAGATAAGTATAATAATATACAGCTAACACCCCCCTCCTCAAGCTTAAGGTGGTAAGACAGACATCAACTTGAGCTTGGAGAGGAGATCAAAGAAGCGGCCTGGAAAATGAGCTTTGGTGAAAAGGTCGGCAGTCTAATCAACAGAGGTGACAAAGTGAAGACGAATAAGGCCACTCATAACATGCAGGCGTATGAAATGGCAATCAATCTCAATATGCTTGGTGCGATCATGGAAGATATCCTTATGTGCAATCTGAATAGCACTCTGATTGTTACAATAAATAGTGGTGACAGCAGAATGAGAAACTCCCATGTTAGAAAAAGCCAATGAAGCCACACAAGCTCTTGAGTAGTGTTAGAAAGAGCACGATACTCTGTCTCGGTACTAGAACGAGCAACAAGAGTTTGCTTCTTGCTACGCCAGGAAATGAGATAGTTGCCTAAGAAAAAA